GGGGGGTTAACGACGGGTGACGACTCATCTGTATAATCTGCGGCAAACCGTTTCAGGGTGTTCTGTACCATAAAAATAGTACAGAGATTCTTTTGTTCTTTAGACCAAATTGATTATTAAAAAGAGTGAAGAATACGCATGTTAATTTCTCTAGAACGATGTACCTCTGACGAAGACATGAGATCTCCGACCTCTAGTTTTACAGATGGTTTTGATTCAGTGGGAACATATAAAAGGAATAAAATACATCACTGCATGAAATTTAAAAGTCAAAACAATAAATCAGAGCCTTGTCCTGTCTACTCTCTTCATATTTATCTGCCATACATGTTCCAGCATGGCAAGGCATGCCATTTTGCCCATTTTCGGCAGGTTGACCACTGGCAAAGGTCAACCATTTTTTTTCCAAAATCAGGCAAAAATCAATATACATACTAGTAACAGACACCAGCTATTAGGACAGAGAGACAACCCCAGAATTTGGCCACCCAAAACAATACTTCCGTACCCTAAAGTTGTGATCAAGTATTTCATACCAAAGATGCAAATTGTTGTTAAGCCTGCAAAGTTGCATTTGCTGTACATGTTCTGGGCTATTTTTTTATACACTAGACTTTCCCTGTCACCAACTCAATCATTTTTAGGAAGGTCCTAAGTCCGTCACTGACAGGGCACGTGTCTTGTCCGCAGCTCTTCTTGTGTCCGACAGACCAGTGTTGTTTCTGACAGTCTCGGCTGCAGTACCGGGTCAGCTTGCACTGGCCACACAGCTTCAGGGTGGACCTGGAGAGGAGGGAACAGTTACACTAAAGCTGTTCTGGACTACGGTAGAATTCAGAAAACTGACCATTGTAGGCTGTACAATGACGGAGACGCAAGAATCAAACACAAGAGGTAACAAGTACACACACACACACAGTCACATACACACGCATTAACATGCACACACACAGACGCGTATCACACACATACACACACACACTAACACACGCACACACACACAC